AGACCATTTCCTTAGCAATATGTAAAATATCTTTTGCTATAATATTAAGAATTGTTTTATATATTGTTAATCTCTATAATTTAACATTATGTGATATTAAGCAGAAATGTAATACTAATGCCAAGAGTGCTAAGTAGTGCTAGTTAATTCTAAAACACTTATTATATTAATAGCGTTAATGTCTTCTGTTAAAATTAGTAGTTCTATTAAATTTGTAATTTTAAAAAATAGTAACAGAAATCAGAAGTTCAAAAGGTATAAATAGACTTAGAAACTACTCTTGTAAAGATAGAACTCGAAGTTTCAACAACTTGACAATAAATAAAGAGCAGTCATGTCTTCATACACAAACAACTCGAATACTTTATTTGAATAAATCATACAATTCCCTAAAGAGTGATTGTGTCTTCATACACATATAACTCAAGACTTTGTTGAATAAACTATAAACTTGTTAATATGACTATCTGTATCTTCACACTAATCCTATAGTTTACTTAGCATAAATCGGTATTCACTATTAAATTACTTAATCTACCTGTCGCTATAGTAAAACATTATAAACAGTATTCTTGAAATATTATTATTGATATATTGTAAACCCTGTCAATTTACTTATTTGTATTAAAGAAAGAGTTAGTTTAAAGTGTTTATTATTTGATAATCTGAAGAATTTTAAATTGTTTGTTTATCTTTTATAAATCTAGCAATAGTATTCAGACGATTGTATACTATAGTAAAATATTATAAACAGTATTCTTGAAATATATTATAAGCCATGTTAATTTATTTATTTGTATTAAAGAAAGAGTTAGTTTAAAGCATTTATTATTTGATAATCTGAAGAATTTTAAATTGTTTGTTTACCTTTTATAAACCTAGCAATAGTATTCAGACAATTGTATACTTAGAAGGCTTTCAAGAGAAAATCTGAAAGTACAAATCTAAATTTTTTAAAAACTTAAATAATAATTAATTTAGTCAAAAATTTTTAAAAAATACAATTATATGAATTGCATTTGGTTAAATAATTATTAGTTTTCTTTTAAAATTACATATCTCAAAATAACGCCCCAAAAGTGAAATACAACAACGTTTATTTGAAACAAGAAGTCCTGTTAAAGAAATATATTTGATCTTAATTAAAATGTAAGAAATAGTGAAGCTTAATTTTTACTATGATAGATTTGATTAGCTGTATAATATATAACAAATACGTAAAATAGTATTGTTGTTTATTGTTGTTATACGGATATACAAATTTGGAGGCGTCTAAAGCCTGGCATCTCACGAAATTACCTGAATCACAGGAGATTACGGAAAGCGGTTAATCCCAATTTTTTTTATTAAAAAAGAAATAAAAATAAGCTGTGGTGATAAAAAATTCAAGTTTATCACTATACGATTATGCCATCTAAGATTTTTAAGAATTTTTCTTTAAGATTTTTTTTTTTTTTTTTTTTTTTAAGATCTGATTTTTAAGATCTTTTTTTTTTTTTTTTTATATAAAGATTTCCTACATCTTTTTTAATTTTTCACACTTTATGAACAATATCAAATATCACCAAGCATACATACGATTTTTTTTTAAATTATAGTAATAGGCCAATATATTATACCAGTATATATTTTTTTATTACATGAGTAATTTTTTTGTGGAAAGCGAAGAAGGTATATTTGTAGAAAAAGAGGAGGCCGTGCTTGAAGAAACGGAAAATGCAAATAAGAAAAGCAAAAGTGTAGAACTTGAGAAAAACGGAATTATAGAGTTTGAGGAAAATGATGATAAGGCCACGCTTGAAGAATATGAAGAGGCCACGCTTGAAGAAAATGAAGAGGCCACACTTAAATTTTATACGTCTCAATCTTTAACCACTAATGAAAGACATGTACTTCTCTTCAATATTGGTGAACCATTTGAAGTTTCAATGCGTGATTTTGATAATGAATGGTGGCCGCTTGTTTCAAATATTTGGACCAGGTTTAGCTACAAAAATCATAATAATGGTAATTTATAAAAAGCTTTCGCATGCCGGCTTATGAAACATAACTATTCAAGTGGTCAAAAGGAAGATATCCCTCTTGAAAAGTGTAGGAAAACAAAAATCCGTTCTCTCAACCTGTGCTCTGCAAAAATCTGGGTGTTGCGTTTTGTTGGGGTACAAAAAGTGCAAATTGAATGATACAATAACAGCCTTGACCATACGCACACACTTGAGGAAAGTGAAGTGTTAAAGCGTTCGGATGCAGTACGAAAATTAGTAGAAGAAGAGGCAGTCAAGAACTACCCGCCACCCACCATTGTGAGTACAATCAAAGATTATGCAACCAGGAAGTTGGATTTGGGCGCAAGTGTTAAAGAGTTAAAACGAAAGAATGTTTCAAACATTAAGCAAAAAGTTTGTGAAGCACAGAAAAATAATAGTTTTGGCGGTAATATAAATATAGAATCCGATATTGCAGAATATATTCATTTTTTAAAAAATGAAGGTTGGGATCTTTTATTTTATTTATATATATGGGCTTGGTGCTAGAAAAGGATCGAAATTGGCAAAAAAATTCTT